GCTCACTTCTGAATCGGAGCCTGTGTTCTGTTTGCTCATTGCATGCTTCAGGTTACGTCATTTAATTTGTCACCTCTTTTGAACGAATAACATGAAGTAGCGCGCGCAGCTGAAAATTGGGCATTTGACGAATTTCATTTCGAAATTGCAAACTTACATTTAAAAATATGGATTTAATGGATAGTATTTTGTCTGGAAAAAGTCAAAATGGAAGCCACTTCGATGTTTTGCTTTTTCTGTGAAAATGTGACAACCTAAAAACTAGAAATAATTATAGTCTACATGTGCAAGAAGTAGTATTATGCAAGAAAATAAACCGAAGGTGACTGTCGATAAATTTATTGTATAAAACTTTCTTTAACTGAACCATACAAAGATTTTGTTCGTAGGTTCATATGATCCACATTTTTGTCAATAACTTTTTGAATCTACGAAGTAGATTATATGCTATCGACTTGTTAGCTGTTCACTGTTCACTGTTAACTTAGACAATCAGCGACCAGTATTACCAAAAATTACGTAATTACAAATTACGGCTTGGTCGCGAGACAATCCAATATGGCGGTAAAGAGGGGTTATAATTTATGATTTATATTTATTCACGCATTGAAATATGACGACTTGTGGATGAAACTGATGGAGAGAATCAAGAACTACGTACGTGTCTGTGTTTGAGCAGCATGATTGCTGTACACTTTTCAGAAATTTACGAAGTAGTACGTATTGGTTTTTGAAGCGTCTACCATGTGTTTCCTATTTGGACCAAATTTCGCCTTCATTCGAGCGCCAAAACGGATTCAAGCTCGAATGAAGGCGAAATTTGGTAAAATATGAGCTACAGAATTATTTTAAAGTATAACAACCAGCGAAGAAGTAAGTCAGTAAGTCACTAAGGTTTCGAGTAAAATTGGCCCATTAATCTTTTAAATATATAAACAAACGTTTTGCGACAGCTGACCTCTTAACTTTGATAAATAAAGCTGATTGCGTGTTTTATAAAGTCTGTATCATGCAGCGCCGATTTCTTACTCCTGCTTAGTTTCTCATATGAAACAATTATGTTTTAAAGTACATAAATACACAGCGTATATTAATATGGTTCGGCTCACCGCACACTTTCGTTGAGTGCCAATGTTTATTGTTTAGAACGTAATTCTCCAAGATGTTGTTAGAATTCCGAAATGTAATACGACCCGATATGAAGTCTGCGCTCATGTCGAATATTATTTCACTCAACGTAGACACAATAAAAGTGCAACAGTGATGTATTTATACGTGATTCTTGTTCACGTTTAACTGTATATCGGCTTATCCTGTCTCTGTTTTAACCGATATCATTTACAAACAATTGAAAATACTTTATTAGTCAATTGTGTATTGATGTGTTTCATACTATCTTGTTTCACGGCAGGAGCATTGGCCTTATACTGGTTGTGGTGGGCCGGGCAGGAGTCTCTATTATTATGGTGTGTACGAATTCGTCACGCGAAAAACGCGTTCGGATTGTGTACGCATAAGACACAGTTACTGTGGGTTTTTACTACCATGGAGTTCTGTGTTTGAATAATTAGACCATATAGGCTTAGTACAAAAAGATTATTTTAATAACTACGTTTCGGAGTATAACTCCATCTTCAGGTTAAAAGTAACTAAAGATATAAAACTTTAAAAACAATTACAAATTTAGTCTAAATTTGTAATTGTTTTTAAAGTTTTATATCTTTAGTTACTTTTAACCTGAAGATGGAGTTATACTCCGAAACGTAGTTATTCAAATAATCTTTTTGTACTAAGCCTATATGGTCTAATTATTCAAACACAGAATTATTAAAATGAGGCTTAGAGAAAGTTCTGTCATACAAGATTTGCAGATACCATGGAGTTGTTTATAATAAGTGTTCAACTAAATATCGTCCTACAATTAGAATTGTGAATATTTTAATCTGGAATAACTGTTTTTGAATTATTTTCTGATTATATTCTAGACTAGCTTGTGCTTGTCGGCCATTCACGTTTTAAAATTGGGTAGGGTAGGGCAACGATTTATTGCTATTCGTAGATTCATGTACGCGTAGCGTGCCTATTTTTTTGCGTAGCATGTATAATTTTTGCGTTGACTATATTTAAAGGTAATGAGTTTAATATACTCTACAATTAAATCGTGTGCAAATGCTTAACTATTCGTCTATTCGATAGTTTTCTCAACTTTTGTGCTTAGAGCCATTCCATTTAATGCCCCCCCCCCCCCCTCCGGATGAGTTTTTCTGATGGCTGACTCAGAAAGTCGTTTCTGAGGGGTTAAGCCTGTCGGCATCTTTTGATCTCTGCAATTTTTCTGAGGGGTAAGGGGAAAATTTACAAATTTCTGAGGGGGGTTTTGTGTCGGCACTTTGATCTTTTTTTCTTATGGGTTAAAATTTTACTGACCTCATCCTTA